TCAATAACTGTCCCCACAATTACAAAGTAACATAAGACTTTTTGGCGTACTTCGTCCTCACTATACATTTCCTGGGAAGATTTCCCAAAAGATCACCCGTCCTAAAATTGCTGCAAGTTAATCACTCTTAATTACGAAGTTCTTTCGTTTTGGGCTATCAAAAAGTATATGCATCTAGTTAGTCTAGGTAGTACCAATTAATCTTTATAAACTATCATCAACTGTAGAGTCCAATACTTGTACAGTCTTTGAAATCTCTCTCTTTTGGATGTGTATTCGATTCTTTCATGTATCCCTTCGCTGGAAGCCTGCCAAGAGCTGCTCCTTGTCCGTGCCTCTTTGTACAGGCGAGCACTCCCCGCCCTTGTTAGCCATCAGGATGTTACATGTCCACTAGCTTCCACCTGGTTCGTCCTCGAACCAAACCGTACTGGGAGAGAGGCCCTGCTCTGATACTACATGTAACGCTCCTTGTCTGTGCTTCTTTGCACCAGCGATCACTTCCCGCCCTCGTTAGCCACCAGGATGTTACATGCCCACCAGCTTCCACCTGGTTTGTCCTCGAACCACATCGTACTGGGAGAGAGGCCCTGCTCTGATACCATTTGTAAGGCCCGACCGCTTCAAGAATCAATGATTGTCCCCACAAACTAATACAAGACTTTTCAGCGTACTTTATCCTCACTCACACACTTTCTGGGAAAACTTCGTAGGAGGTCACCCATCTTAGAATTGCTCCATGTTAAGCACGCTTAACTATGGAGTTCTTCCATTCTAGGCTACCGAAAAACAGATACATCTTGTTAGTCTAGGTAGTACTAATTAATTCTTATAAGTTATCCCCAACTGTATAAATTATAAAAGAAAAAAGCTTTGGCAACCTGGAAATTGGAGCCTTGATTGTTCATATTGACAGTTCAAATAAAGTAACCAAAAATGATAGCCATGTTCGACAGTACAAGCTATACTATACCTCCTTGCCTGATTTTCTAAATCAGTTTCTACTTTTAGATATGCATCTTTTAATTTTTGGGATATTTGAAAGCAAATATTTCATATTTGTCATGAGAAATTTAGTAGGAAAGTGAAGTGCAGAAAAAAGAAAAAGAAAAAACTTTTGAAGTTTCTCAAAGTTTCAGCTTTTTTCAACACATTTTTAATGTAGTCGACCCAAGCTATACTATACCTTCATAAACCCGCACCAAACAACATGCCTTAATTCAAGTCTATAACACAACACACACTTGCACATAGATTGCAGCCATATGGGTCCCACGTACTGCTAGAATCTGAACACCTACACAAGAATTTCTCTTAAAGACTCTTAACACACACACACTAACCATTTCAACCTTTAGGTCTCAACTTTTAGGTCTGCTTTTCCCCATTTCAAGGCTGCTAATACAACTTAAAAATAATTTGAGGAATCCCTGAATGTATTCTGTGTCTCAACTTCATATAAGCATAAGCATACGCCACTATCAGCCATTAAACTCTATTCATGACATTTTGGAGTAGAATCACATATATTAGGAGACTTTCAGGCCAGTAATAAGGTTCAACAAGAGAGAAACTTTCCGACAACAGAAACCCATCAAGCTGGCACTGAACCATTTTAAGTATGAACGTATGAGATACGAAAGCTCATGCTATAAGAAACTAAAAATGTATTAAATCATCATTTACAAAATGGTCAATCAATAATCAAGAGTAATAGAAAGTGATTATAACTATAGTGGTCATCATTATCCTCGTTATAACTAAACATTAACGGGAAACAGATTAACTGAGCAAATTAAGATATAATGTAAGCTCATCTTCGTTTAGTGTTCATTTTAATAAAAGATACTTAATGCAACCTTCAAACAATAAAATCTTTCATATCACTTTCAATAATTAGAATGCAGAAAAGTACAGTGATTTTGGTCTTGATGCATCATGGCAAAAAAAAAAACCCTGAAAACTAAAATAATCGACCTAACCCTGAATGTTAAGCATGTCCTTAGCCTCACTATGTTCCTCCAATAGACCCTCACTAACAAGCTCCATCTTCTTCATCTATTATTGATTTCAATAGGAGAACAGATCACTTAACAAGAGATCATATCTATAAATATACCTTAAGGATCAGATATGATCTCATGTTAAGAATCTGTCCTCCCATCCATCAGCCTTCGTTCATCGTTGGTCTCCACCAATAGATCCTCAAACCCGTAACCATCAACCTTCAGATCCAACCAAACCGAACATTGTGAAGGTGTGTGCATTGACCATGGTTGTTAAAATCGCTTGAAAGATCGTAGGATCGGACGATCCTACGTTTTTTTCCTTCAAACGAGTTGAATCGCATATAGGATCGTTTTCTTCTCAGATCGGTTAAGATCGACGTGTAAAAACGTAGAACCGGTTGGATCGGACGATCCCATGGTTCAAGCGATTCGAAGGAAAAAAAAAAAACAGATTGACAGGAAGAAGAGAGTGAGAAGGAGGAAGTTCTAGTGATTCAAGGGGAAAAACTAAAAAAAAAAAAACATCTTAACCGGTATGGATCTGACTAGGGGGGTATGTATCTCTTGCTACTGCGGGCTATGGATCTTAAGCACCAAAAATGAAAGGAAAGTAGGTTACGGAAGTGAATATTATACTGTCCTTATATACCCGAACAAGAAAGAGCTAAGCCTTTGTTGTGTTTATCAGGAGGAAGAAAGAGAAAGAGCCGTTTATGGGATAATGGGAAGTTGAAATATAAGGATTTCAAGGGCCCACTTGCTATTTAATCGTTTAAGGAAGACGAGTATTCTCTCTGCAAAAAAAAGTTTTTTGAGATCCTGCACTTTTTTAGTAAAATATATATTTCTGGTACAGTTTTAGTTAATTAAGTGATTAAATAATTAAAATTTTTATGTGTCAATATAATTTTAGTTAATTAAATATTCTTATACATAAAATATAATAAGGTTACCCTTTTAAAATATAAAAGGTTATTCCCATATTCTTAGGGGAAAAACTTCTTTTAAAATTTGTGTGCATTTAATATTTTATATATACAGATACAATCAATGTTGTTAAGATCGAGATCTTATCTACTATTGTGAGGGGATAAAAAATTCGTTAATCGTAAAATCGACACGGATCGTAAGATCGTACGTGTGGATATAAAATATTAGAGTAAACACTCTTTTTTGTCCCTGACAATTTTCACGAAATCCTTTTTAGTCCCTGGCAATAAAAAAGGACCAAATTGGTCCCTAAAATTATAAAAAAGAGCCACGTTAGTCCTTCTGTCAACTCCTCCGTCACGGTCAAACTAACGGTGCCCATGTGGCACGTTATCTGCTGACGCGGACTGGACGGTTGACACGTTGGAAAGCTGAACGACAACGTTTTAAAGCAAATGGGTTGCAACGTGTGTAATGGAGAGGACGACGTCGTTTCCTCTCTTGATAATGAACCCTAATAATGAAAAAACCCCAAATTCCTTGAATCGAACCCTAAATCGGAAACTCCATCCCACAAATTGATGAGCAAATCCCTAAACAGCAATACGCCCCCAAAATGTTTGCACTTTGATGATTGAAACTCCACGACAGTAAAACCCAACAACCGAATTTCTAGGCGTGGGAGAAGATGAGTGTTTCTTCTAGCATGGGGGGATCAAGTGGGAGTAAATCAATGGGGGAAGAACAATGACAAGGACCGCTGGTTGGAGGTGCAAATGTGGGAGACAAAGTATTGTCTATACCTCCAAAACTGAGAGGAACCCAAACAGGGCTTTCCTTTGCTGTCCTAATTTCAAGGTATGAATTTGTAATCTGCCCCTTTATTGAGTTGGAACACTTGCTAACCGTGGTTTTTTTTTTTTTTTTTTGCAGGAGAAGAAGCCCTATTGTGATTTTTTTAGATAAGTAGATGACATGTGTAATGAACCCATGGAGCTGGAAGAAGCAAGAATTAACACTGTGGAGTTGGATGTTGCTGAAATTAACTTCAAGTTGAAATATGTGGAGATGATGACCAGAGAGCAAGATGTGAAGATTACTGAGCAAGGAATGAAGCTTCATCAACAGGAAAGAAAACTGAATGATGTATACCTGAAGATGGTGGAGGAGTTAGATATGATGGACAAAAAATTTAGGATAGTTGATAGGTCAGCTAGGGTCTTAGGTGCTTGTGTTGGTGTGATCATGATCTGTATGTTTGTTGTTAGTGTGGTAAAAGTGAAAACAAATGACCCAAATGTATTTTCCCTTCAGTGAATTGTAATGAGTACTCCTTCTTTATGTGTTAATGCCAATCTGTTTATGTGTATTATCATATGGCCTATTATAAAAAGGCCTTGAATGTATTCCTCTTTTTGATTATGGCATCATATATTTGTGCCTTGGTGAAATGCTGTACTAGATGCTAAGTTTCTGTTATTATGGACTGTTATGCATATTTTGTTACTGATTGCAGAACACGAGGACCATTTAGGTCCCTGTCAATGTTACTCGAGGATCGTTTTGGTCCCTAACAAAGTGGACGGGGCCCTTATTGGTCCCTGATTCCAGGATTATAGGACATGAGTTCTTGATGTCCAAATTCTGGTTATGCAGCACTCATTTTAAAAAACAGTAGTGCATTTTTGCAGCTATTATGTTGTCCCTGACTTATATGCCTTGCCATCAGAAATGCACGTAACATCAGAAATGCAGTATGTAGGGGTCCAAATTGGTCCCTCACAATGACTGTCGGGGTCCTAACTGGTCCCTGCAACCAGAAAATTGGGCATGATCTGTTTTGCCAGAAACATTAAACAACCTGCACCAGAATGCAAATATGGCAAGTAAATGCAAATATGCAAATATGGAAGGTAAATGCAAATATGCAAACATGGCCATATGGAATGACCAGTAACCAGAAAATATGGCCAGCAAAAACCTGCACAAACTAGTAACCAGAAAACCATAACACTATTCACATGCATCATAACCAGAAAATTTGACATTCATCAACCCTGCCACATAACATGCATAACCAGTTACACATAATTGTCTTCTTAGAACTAGAAACCAGTAGTGCATTACAAATAAAAGCCAACTAATAGGAATCATAAGTGAGGCCTATAAATACAATATGGCCATGCATAAAAAAAAAATTACATTATATCCAACACCCTAAAGGCCTCCAAAAACAAATGGCCAGAATTTACAAAAAAATCTCATTATATCCACTCCTTGTCAGTTGGCTCATGCACTACTCCCTTTTTCTTCTTCATCAGCAGCTCATTTTCTTGAGGATCGCCTTGGTGGCCTGAAACCAGGTATTGTCATGAAGTGCATAAATCTGCTTCGTGTGCCACTGCTTGCTGCCTTCATTGTCTCTTCAGTCAACACTGCATTTGCTTCTTCTGGATTTGAAGGAGGTGGGCTGCCTCCTCTCAAGTGGCCTTTATGTGGCTGCTGAGAACTACCAACTTCTAAAGGGCCTCTTTGACTTAATGAGATTTCATCTACTGAGTCAGTGCCAATCCTCACAGATTGTGGTCTTGCTTGGCTTTTATTTGTTTTGGAAGCTGGTGGCCCCTTACAACTCTTGGCATAGTGTCCAGTCTGACCACATTTAGTACATTTGGCTTCATATGTCCTTTTGACTTTCTTTGTCATGCTTCCTTGGTCTTCAGTTGGGTCCTTCTTCCTGTGTTTCTTGGGACGCCCAATTAGCCTTTTAAGTTTTGGTGGAAGAGGTTTGGGTTCATCAGATGCAGGCCAATACTTGTCCGAATTCGCTGGGTTTAAGGTGTGCGCATACGTGGCATGCAATGCATCCACTGTAAGCCATTGATGGACATAGTTCTCGGCTGGCTCGTTTTTGTGACAAATGGCTGCTATAGCATGCTCACAAGGCAGTCCAGTCAACTGCCATGCATTGCATGCACATGTATGTGTTGTTAAATTGACTCCAATTCTTTCCTCTTTCCCACTGACCTCATACATATCTTGCTGCAGATTTCCAGTCCAAGTGGGTGTCCATGAATTGCTAAGTACCTTTAACTGATCCAGTTTTTTTTGCTGAGCAGGAGCAATTTTACCCCGAACAATCTTGGCATTCCATACCTCTGCCATGTTTGTGATATTATCACATTTCGGCCAGTGGCTGAAATAAGCTTTCACCCAACTTGAGGGCTGAATGTTATCCAAGTACTTCCATGCAGCCTCATTCTTCCCTTTCAACCGTGCCATTGACTTCTGGAACTGTGGGACAGTGGTGCATCTTGAACATTCCCAGACCATGGCTCGAATTGCCTTGTCTTTCCACTGCTTTATGAAATTCTTCCAAATATGCTGCACACAAAAACGATGATATGCACCAGGCATCACCTCTTGCAGTGCTGGAATCAGCCCCTACACACAGACAAAAAAAAAGGTATCACAAACAGATATAGATTGCTGGAACCAGTGCATTTTGTTACTGATTGAAAAACACGAGGACCATTTAGGTCCCTGGCAATGTTACTCGAGGGTCGTTTTGGTCCCTGACAAAGTGCACTGGGCCCTTATTGGTCCCTGATTCCAGAATTTTAGGACATGAGTTCTTGATGTCCAAATCAACAAAATGCAGCACTAAGTGTAAAAAACAGTCGTGCATTACAGAAATGCACTGCATGAATTGGATAAGGAATGCACAAATATGTTGTCCCTGACTTATAGAAATGCGTGAAGGAAAAACAGAAATGCACTGCATGAATTGGATGAGGAATGCACAAAAATAAGAAACATATGTTGTCTCTGCACTTAACATCAGAAATGCACTGCATCAGAAACATATGTTGTCCATGCACTTAACATATGTAGGGGTCCAAATACAAAAAAACCAATAAGCAATACAGTGAGATCAGAGTGCACTATGAAGGAAAAACAGAGTAAACAAATATGTGGCTGAATACTAAAATTAATATAAAAAAATAAACAAAATAAATAAATAAATAAAATATAATATCTAACTCAATTAAAAATATATTCTAATTATAATTCAAATCTTTATAAAGCTTAAGAAATATGTAATTATATTTATTCTAATAGTAGAAATGAAAACCGAGTTCAACTGCTAATTACAAGTCGCACCTTGCAACTACCACCATCCCAACTGCTAATTATAAGTCTTCACGCATAACTATTTGTGCTGGGAATTGGGATCCAGGTGTCCGGTGCAACTGTCATCCTTATCAAAATATCAGTAAAACTCGTTTAAAAAAAACGAGCTACTTATATAATTTAATTCATTCAAGATTATTATCATTGTTATATATCAATCTACATTTTTAATTAACCCACCCTTGAGTTTTTCATTTTAATAAGAAAAAGGAGTTAGCGAACTCAATACAAAAGAAGCACATAGTACGTCTATCTCTCTCCAGGAAAAGCAACCTCAATCAATAATTATGTTGAAATAACACTAAGTAACCAGGTTGATATTTCTTCCTGGCATATATTTAAGTGGTGGGAACAGAAGGCCAAAAGACGGCACTTCCATCCCCATTCTGCACAAAAAAGTCAATAAATTTAAAACCAAGAGGGGAAGAACTATTTCACTAGGCCAGCAAACAATGTTGGCTATAATTTTGAACTTTGTGTACCATGTCCTGGTTAAATGTCTATAAAATACTTTAGTGAAGCCGAAAGCATCTGGCAAAACATGGCAACACAAGGCGCACTAAGGACCACGGTCTCCAAACCTTTCCAATAAAAGTGAGAAGCACTGCAAAACATATAGTGAAAAATGTTCGTCAAAACCAATTAAATTTAATTTATCATAACAAGTAAGACTAAATAACCAGAAATTACGTCTACCAAAAAAAATAAAAAAAAAATAACCAGAAATTACAAATTCCTAATCTCCGCTGGTGTATTGGGCTACATAAATTTACCATTAGTAGTTTACCTAAATTCAATCCATAAGACAAAATCAGCTTTTAAAAAATCAGGTCATTTGGCATTATATAACAAACTAGTTGGGATGGACGGTCAATGAACCCAAAAAAAAAAAAAACAAATAATAAATAAAATAAAAGATTCCGGAAAAGGAAAGAGAAAAAAATAATGATAATGCTAGCAATAAAAAAATAAAATAAAACTAACCTAAAAATATAAGAGAAAAACGTTGCAGAAGCAAAAACTACAATATTTTTTTTGGAGGCATTGTCACATCATAACTTATTCAAAGAAAATTTAGGAACTTTGGGGGCATGGAATTATGTAATTCCACATGAAACGTGGTGATATACATATAAGAATAAAGGTACATCAAATCTATTTGTGCAAAATAAACCAAATTCTAGTGATCTTGATTCATTAAGAATCAGAGTTTGGTAAGGAGAGAGAGAGAGGAGATCTGAGAGATAACCATTTATAGAGCAAGATAAAGTCAGAAACAGACTAACTAACTAACAGACTAGAAAACAGAAAAGAACAGTAGCGATCTAACACATACAGAAGTACAGTAACATCAGCAAAGCTAAGTGAACTATATCACTAACAGTAAGCCACGCAGAAGATGTTGAGAGTTCATACCTTAATGAGATTCAGCTCAAAAAAAATAAAATCGGCACACGCTAGAGCCCGGTCGTATATCATATAATGAGTGTCTGTGAATATCCCTCTTTTCGCTTAAGTCCAACGATCTGTGGGAACTGATGTTCATTGCCTTCAAAACAAATCCATATCGTAAAATATATTTGGCAAATTCCAGCTCATCTTCAAGTCCTCGATAGCCGTCAAACTCAAAAGAGGTCAGGTGTGATCGAAGACAATTAGGAACCCTTGTTGGCTGCGCCCAACTTTGTAAATGTAATGGTTTCTGCTCCTGGCGGTAAAAAGGAAAAACAACACTCGTAAATGGAAGCAAAGAATATATTTAATATAGGTCAAATCTTTAAACTTGAAAGCTCAACAAACCTCCCAGTTACTAATTGTAAGAACTTGAAGTACGTGACATTTCTCAGAAAACTTGAGTTGAAACATGGAAAAATGATCTCCAGACGAAGTAAATGGCGAAAATTCGGAAAATCTAAAATAGGGACAAAGTAGCATCTGCAAGACAACAAGAAGTTATATCATATATAATATCAGTACAGAATTCATCAAAAAGAAGAAGAAGAAGAACAAGAAGAAAAATAGTGATAATAAAACTTGACCTTTGTTGAGAAATAACCCAATTTTAGAGATTTTGTTCCACACAGAGCTCGGATAAGCTTGTGAAAAGTGTTGACAGATGCTTTCTCCACTCCTCCCACATCAAGAAATGCATCCACCACATGCTGTAAATTGGTAAACTTACAATGAAAGGAGCTAGTCGCATGGACGATTGAAAGGTACTCAAGACCTGGCACATCTATATCCAGGTAAGATTCCCATTGAGAAGAAAAAACTTGGAACTCCAACCTCTTCAAGGAAGGAGGGACGTGGACTTTGGTCAAGCATTTGGCACAAATAGACAAAGTCAGGGTTTCGAGGGCAGGGCACCCAGAGAGGAGGGTTTCATAAAAATCCACATTTATATGACATAGATTAAGCATCTTTAGGGATGGCAAACAAACTGCTGCAGGCTTTTCTATGTGGATTCCGTAGGACAAAGACAGTGACACGAGCTTGCTGCAAGTGAAGAGGGTGTGAGGCATTGAACGAAATCCAGCGTTGGAATGCAGTTCAAGCCGCAGTTCCTCCAGGTTAGGCCCAATGGCGATTTGGACCCACTTAGCCACTGAGCTGGAGTCTCTGTCAGAGTAAAGACACGAGAGTCGAAACCCTCGAATATCATAACCCTTTCGCAGAGCTAGAACCCTATTTACTAAAACAGCTAAATGCTCGAATCCCTGGCAAGAGTTTTGGCAAAAGTCAAGGACTTGAAGATCCTTCCAGATATGGCGCCACCTACGAGACAAAGTGCTCGTAGTCACGCAGTCTTTAGTTGGAAGGAATGATAGGATGTGGCACAAGACTGCATCAGGCATATCACTGATCCTGTCCCTGCCGTCAGGGTTTTCTTCTGTTTTCTGCCGCTTGATCGTGTCCCTACCGACAGCATTTTCTTCTGTTTTCTGCCCCTTGATCCTGTTTTCTTCTGTTTTCTGCCGCTTGATCCTATCCCTGCCGACAGCATTTTCTTCTGTTTTCTACCGCTTGATCCTGTCCCTGCCGACAGTATTTTCTTCTGTTTTCTGCCGCTTGATCCTGTTTTCTTCTGTTTTCTGCCGTCAGGGTTTTCTTCTGTTTTCTGCCGCTTGATCCTGTCCATGCCGATAGCATTTTCTTCTGTTTTCTGCCGCTTTGAGGTTGGTTTATCCATCTTCAGGATTGATGGAATACCGGAATGCTATCTACACGAATAATGCATTAATATAAATACAAAAAAGTGCAAATTTTTAGGTTTCTTTAGTATTCGACTATTGGTCGTTATTATTTTTTTTTTTTACCTTTTTTCCTTCGTTAATTAATTAATAATCATTTTGTCTCTCATTTAAAACTATTTATCAATCTGTCTCTCTTTAATCGATTAACTTGAAGTGGTCAAAATTGACAAAAAATGGTTGACTTGAAGATTTAATCGATTAAATATCCCTCTTAATTGATTTAATCGTTTAAAACTTATATTTAATCGATTAAATATCTCAAATGAGCGTGAAAGCATTGATTAAATGAGACGAACACGGTATTGGAGATTATTTGAATTTTGAATTTTGAATTTAATGTAATAGGAGTTGATTGCGATTTGTATTTAATAGGAGCTGATTGCATCTTATTAAATACAAATCGCAATCAGCTCCTATTAAATACAAATCGCAATCAGCTCCTATTAAATACAAATCGCAATCAGCTCCTATTAAATACAAATCACAATCAGCTCCTATTATATTAAATTCAAGATTCAAATAACCTCAAATACACGGAAAACTATTGAAGATTCTGCTAAGTATTTTTATGATGAATATGCAAGACGGGAAGGGTTCGTTGTTCGCCTTGATCGCTGTTATCGTTTCGAGGTTGACAATAGGATCACTTCGCGTCGTTTTTCATGTAATAAGCAAGGTTTTCATGTGAGAGGTAGAAATGGATGCAGGCCTGTTCATGTAAATCAATCCAGTTTCCAAGAATCGTTTTTCTTTTCGTGCTATTCCTAAATCAAACCATTAACAGTGTTTGCAAGAATCGTAACTACTACAGATAGATTTTAACCATCAACCAATACATTAGAAAGTAACAAAATCAGTTCATGTAAATCAATCCAGTTTCCAATAATCATTTTTCTTTTGTTAGTTTCTTTGTTTGTTTGGTTATCTATGCTTGTTGATTTGCTTCATATGCATGGAATCTGCTTTTTTTTATGGAGGAGATTTGACCTTTGTTGCCTATTGGGAGATTTAATCGATTAAATCTTCAAGTCAACCATTTTATCCAATTTTGACCATTTAATTGATTAAATTTTTAAGTTAATCGATTAAAAAGGGACATATTGGTAGATAATTTTGAATAAGGGACAAAATGGTTATTTATTAATTAATGAAGGGTAAAAGGGTCAAAAAGCCTTCGACTATTTGTTTTATTTATGGGTTCGCTTTGTTTGCAATTATCTGCAATAAGCCAATACGACGTCGTTTTGGACAGAAATCATGGTGTTTATGTAATTTTAATTTATTTCAGGATTATAATAGTCTTTATATTTATAATTTTTTAAGATTTCAATACCAAAACAACGTCGTTTTGGGATAAATGCAGATAACTCATCTACATTAACTGCAGAAACATTTTTTTCTATATTTATTTGGGGTTTGTTGTTTATCAATTTAAATTACATAAGATATGTCTTCATTTTCATTTTAAGAAAGAGATAGACACAATGAATGAAAATATTGAAAAGAAAATAGATATTTTTTAATTTAAATTTTAAATAAAAAAATATTATTTTGTGTCTTTATCTATTAGAATGAGATAACTTTATAACTTTGTGTGTTTACTTGATAAATTTGATACAATGCCTGCATAGTGTGTTTACTTAATGAAGGAATGCAAACATTACATAATTATTTGACATCCTTTCCTAACAATTATACACATAATTATTGTGACATCCTTGATCAATTGCAAAAGTTTGTGAATAAGTGAACCTTTTATTTTTTTCCCTTTCTAATTTCCCTATACTTCCAAATCATAATTTTAACTCACTTTGATTT